GATATGCATGTTCGTCAATAACAATGTTAGTACAAAATTCGCCCAATGTTTGATAATTACTTAATCCTACGCCACGAAAATGTATTTCATTTTGCCGCAAGCGCGGCGCACCTATTTTAAGATATTTGTCGGCGCGCATTAGACTGAGATCGCTACCCGTATCAACCAGCGCAGTTACCCCGCATCCCTCGATTATTACATTTTTATAATATTTCTTATGAACCGCTTGATTCACCACGCAAGTGTCTCTCATCTCAGATACTTGCTTTTTCGGGCATTGTGATGCGATGTGTCCATATCCACGACATTCCAAACACTTCATGCCCTTGTCTTTTGTCGGACAATCCACAGCCAGATGAGTCGCTGAGCCATAAGAATCATCTTTTCTTAACTGCGTCCCCCTTCGCCGCATTCTTATGCTCCGTTTCGCCAGCTCTAATGAATCGTCCTTTGCCGCCATTCCTTGCAACCGCGCCATCCGTGCTCTCTCGTGACACCCTTTTCTCGCAGGATAATTTTTTCAAATGCTTCGAGAAGGGCTGTCGTCGTCTGAAATCTTTGTATTCGTGCTTGATCTCGTAACGTCTGGGATACCATCAATTAGACAATCCATTACTTCATCGGAATCGACAGGCATGTGATTTGCAACGATCATCTTTTTGTGGAAATATTCGCTGAACGCCCTCTCCTCCAAGTGCATTTCTCAAACCTCCTTCGTCTCATCGCCTTGCTTAGTCGATGAAAGAACATGCCCCGCAACTGCGTTAAGAAATCCTCAAATTGTGCGTCTATCAACTCGGACTTCGAATGAAACCATTCGCTCGCTTTTCCCTTCAGCTTTGAACCCATTAATAACTTCTCCTGGCTATCATCAAGCTTGAAAGTCGCTTTTAACAATCGCACTTGTTTCTCCCATCTCTTATATAATTCGCTGCTCCCATCAAATTGACCGAGAAGATCCGCTATAGCCAATATACTAATCCTTGACTGCACCTGACTACTTGTCGATTCACTTGCCACTGACGCCGCCTCCACGTGTTCGCCCTCGATATGGCCCATTGCTGGGCCTCACGCAACATCTCTATTTCGCGGCGTGCCAACGCAAGCTCCCGCTCTCTCAATGCAGCTTCTCTGCGCATCAAATTTAATTCTCGCTCATATTGCGCTTGAAGCTCTCGAGCATTCGTTGTATTAGCCACGTATAAGTCATCGCCCGTCGCTCGCGTCTTATGACCCTCCTCAGCGTCCTCCATCCATCCACCGGACGGATCATGCTCCATCAATCGCGTAAACAATTCGGCTTTCGTTCCCACTCAGTCCATTTCCAACGCCGTCAACTTATCTTTCAATTTTTGTAATGTGAAATCACGCACGGACTTCATTATTCTGACTCTCTCCAATATTATGCCAGTCTACACGAATTAACGCAACACAGCTCAATACCGATCAACGCGAATTGCAATAGTTCAAAGAAATTCAAATAATAACGTTCTTTCTCACGATCACTTGTATGTTATCACTCAATGCCAGCAACGCAAACACTTTCGGCAACTTTTGAAAATTTGACCGATTATGTTCTCTACGCAACGTCTCACTACGCGACTAATTTAATTATTTTTGGCTTACTTAGTCTATTCAAATCCCGGCTGAGCCCCCAAGTTTGTCGACTTCTTCATCGGTATGAGTCGTTTTAGTAATTTTTTGGAGAGGTAGCAATAGAATCACTCGAAACTTTTAGTTAAATAAATGAGTATGGATATATTTATAAAGAAAAAAGTGGATCAATTAATATTATAATTAATAAAGAACAAGTATCGCGCCTTCAATAATTATCGGTCACCCTTCGATCTCTTCGCAAATTTTCTCGATCAACGCTTTGTCTCGACTGACTTATTCGATTCTCGCATCCGCGCTTCTGACCTCGTTTTATCGTTAGATTTAAAATTATAACAGCCGCCGAATTGTTGTCAAAACATACTGCTTAGGCATACTCGCTAAGACAATTAACGCGTCCCTGGCATCATCGAGCGGGCCTCGGAGGACATTCGCGCAAAATATAATTATTTCATAATATTATTATCATATAATATTTATATTGTATGATATTTGTTTTAAAATTAATTAGAATAAATAAATGTTTAATACTTTTACTATTAATGTTAAATATTATTTATTATTAATAATAAATATTATTATTAAATATTCTTAAATATTATTATTAATATTAAATATTTATTTATTATTATTAAATAATATTATTAATATTGAATATTTATTTATTATTATTAAATATTTTTATTAATATTAAATATTTATTTATTATTATTAAATATTATTATTAATATTAAATATATTTATTTATTAAATATTTATTAAACTATTATCTGATTGAAAATCAATAATAATATGAAACTAATATGAAAAAATATCATTGAATTCTAGCGTTTCAATCTCTCTTGATTTTTTCTTATGGTTTTAAAAATGAAAGAAAATGTTTCAAATGTTCAAAAATATTGGTTGCTCTGAAAAGAGCGGATTGTTTCTGATCGCCATAAAAAGGGCGGATTAATTTATAAATCATAGTAGGTGCTCGAAATGGCTCTCATCCATCCTAACGTAAGTTCTCATGCGTTTCAATAAATTTTCTTGGATATTATCCATTATGTCTTTTTCAATAGGCCATATGGCATATCGCAATCTTGTTTCTAAATTTTCAATATCTTCAGGGAGCGTTTTATAAATTTTTTCTTTGCAATATCCCCAAAGAAAAAAATCCAATGGATTGAGATCCGGAGATCTTGCAGGCCAACATATCGGATTATATCGGCCCATCCAGCGTCCAGGAAACTCGTTGTTTAAAAAATTTGTCATAATTCTGGCACAATTGTGAGGTCCAGCACCGTTTTGTTGAAATATAATTTTGTTTCTTTCCAATAATGGTACTTCTTCTAAGAAATCTGCTAGATTATTTTATAATAAGTCTATGTATGTTGCGCTGGTCAAAATATCCTGGAGAACAATTGGGCCTAGTATTTCAGCTCCTATAAATCCAGCCTAGATATTGAGCTTCCAACGTCTAGAAATTCCTGACTCGTGTAACTCTGGGATTTTCATCGCTCCACAAATGCATGTTATGCGAATTAAATAATCCTTCTCGTGTAAATAGCGATTCATCGCTAAATATTATACGAGAAGGGAAGGAGGAAGAGATAAGATGGCGGAAAAGCCACGTGATTTCACAGTGATCAATAAAAAATTATTCGCCATTGGCGCATCTCTGATTATAGGTCTCTACTCTTGCCTATGATGGTAGGCCAGGTGACTTTTTCGCGCATGCGCCGCATGCGGCATTAACGAAGTATCGGCGTTAAATAGTAGAAGCAAAAGGTGTGTCACTGATTGCCCTTAAATAAATTTCTGAAAGAAAATTTTTAAAAAATTTTTAAAAATTTTTACGAGCGACCAACAGCACACTTTCATTTCACTAATCACTTTTTTCGTACTTTAAAACACTATAACATTCACTCGGGACTTCTTTCTGGCATCACCGACCTCAGCTTGCCCGCCAAAACTTTGGCGCCCATAATCCGCTATCTGATACACCGTTACTTTCCTGTGATTACTACTGCACATGCGCGAAAAAGTCACCCGGCCTACCTAGAGAACCTCTAGGAGAGAGAATGGACAACTGATCATGTGACATGTGATCAAGCTTTTTCATGATTGGCTGGCAGAAAATGTATCAATTTTAGCTATTGCGACGCCAATGCAAAATATCATGACACAAATAGGTTATATTAACCTATTTGTGTGTCATCATATTTTGCATTGGCGTCGCAATAGCTAAAATTGATACATTTTCTGCCAGCCAATCATGAAAAAGCTTGATCAGTTGTCCATTCTCTCTCCTAGAGGTCCTAGAGTTCTCTAGGCCTACCATCACTGCCCTTGTATCCAACCCGTCATAAGTTAATTACTTTCTTTAATAATTCAAAAACTAAGCCTCGGACGAAATTTTGCCAAAGGAAAAATCGTCTTAGAATTGATTCAATAATGTGTCATTTCACGGACAATAGGATTATTTTGAATCACCCTGCATATACAGGGTGTTCGGAAATACAACCTATAAATTTACAGAGATTGTTGGGGGCACCATAAGAAACATTTTTTGCAAATGAACTTGGGATTGGATATGTGTCATTACATCGCTACGACATACGAAGTGTTTGAAAAAGTCGGGACCTCGAAATATCACAAAAAATAGAAGTTTTACAAAAAATTGTTTCAAACAAAAGTAGTTATTTTTAAGAAAAAAATGTAATTGTTAATTGAAAATTACATTTTTTTCAAAACAATTATGTGTTTTCTTTACACCAATTGATTCCTCTCATTATTTTGTATATAAAAGTATTAAGATAAGATAATCGAAAAATAAATATTTTACAAGATATTTTACGGTTTATGTAAAATTAAGAAATAATTTCAAGCCTCATAACTCGGAAAGTACTTAATGAGAACTACTTTAATTATAGTGTTTTGGAAAACTTTTGAGATAAGCAACAAAAATATGTAATAAAAAGTGTAGGGTTTCATTTAAAAAATTCAAGGTGACGTTGTCATGACCTTAGTGACGCCATCCAAGATCAAACACATGGCGCCAGTAAATAGACCTTTTTATCCTATAACTTTTATTTGAAACAATTTTTTATAAAACTTTTATTTCTTGTGATATTTCAACGTCCCTCCTTCAAACATTCCGTATGCCGTAGTGATGTAATGACACGTTTCTGACCCCAGGTTCATTTGCAAAAAATGATTCTTATGGTGCCTGCGATAATCTCTGAAAATTTGTCGGTTGAATTTCCGAACACCCTGTAGAGAGATTTATGCAATTTTTTTCATTTTATAGCTTTTATTAGTATACGTAAATATATTAGCATATGTTGATTTATTTGAAATATATTATATGTATTTAATGATTGAATTTCTATTTACGCGATTTACCTGAATAAACGTATTATCAACAGCCAATATGAAGGTATACTTCTTTCTCGCACATTCTGTCTTTGCGCGTCAATTATTAATGAAGCTGCATCCTGTGGTGTCAGTCCTTTCGTTGTAAATGAACATTTTATTGACAAATAAAATAAAATTGCTTTTATTGCAACAAATATAAAAATATCTTATTACTTTAATATATATTTTGAATGCTTATATATAATGTGTGTGTGTGTGTGTGTGTGTGTGTGTGTGTGTGTGTGTGTGTGTGTGTGTGTGTGTGTGTGTGTGTGTGTGTGAGAAGATTTAATGTTAATAAAACACTAATTCTTTATTGAATATGTTGATTTATAAAATATATGAAAAATGTTATAATTTACACTATCGCTTATTACAAAATATTATGCAATTCATCAACCTTATATCATTATATATAAACATACCTCGTTCTTGGTTTCTTGAATAATCCAGTAAGTACTACGGCCGGATAAATGGTAGTGAATTTAATCAAAGATTTTCCTTTGCTATATATGCGCAATTCATCGCTGACAGCTTCCATAAGTACTATAATACATGTACATCAAGAAAATATTAGGAAAGTATATTCCATAATTGCATTTTTATTTTTATCTTCAATTTAAGCACATAAATTTATAGTTAATTTATAGTTAATATTAATAATTATACACTATATACACGAATAGGATTATTATAATAGGATTATTATAATAGGATTATTATAAGATTAAATTACCTTTAATCGCCGTTTTTGTGGGACAATAAACGGTACCATGTGTAGCACCTAAAAATGCTGCTAAAGATAAGAGTGCCACTATACGACCGTGATTCTTTTCAATCATACTAGGTAGAAATGCTTGCAATGTCTAAAAACGATTTCATTGAGAACAATTTCTGAATAACAAGTTATGCTTATTGTACGTATACATGCGTGTATGTGTGTATATGTATGTGTGTGAGAAAACGCTTGTTAGTTTCTTAAATTTATTTTCATGAATGTAGTAAATTAATTTTCAGGGCATATCTCTATTTTTAAGAATAACCTAAACTATATAGTGCTAATTATATATATATATCTATATATGTATATATATGTATATATATATATATATGGGGCGTTCCACGCCAAATCGGACACCATTTAGCTTTTGCATCGCCGATTTTTTTGAAAATTTTTTGTTTTAGTATTGGTTGAAAGAGGCCTCCATGATTTTTTTCAATTTTTTTTGTCGAATGGTTTTCATGATATCGATTTTTCAAAAATTATGTTACTTTTTTTTTAGACGTCCATAAGTTTGCGAAAAATTGGCCAAATGGGACGTTTTTTTTTTTGAAATTTTTCTTTTTAAACGCACTTTTGATAAAAAATATCGAAAAAATTTTTCAAACCGTATTTCTATAAGATTTTCAAGTTTTAAATATAAATTGTTGATTTACAAAAAACACGTACTGATCGATTTTCTTAAAAATTTTTAAAAGTAGTTTTAAGTAAAAAACTGTCATTTATTCCACAACTTTTAAGCCTAAGTAGATAATGGGATAACGATGGGATCTATTTTTTTTCGATTTTTCTATTTAAGTTATCCTTGTTGAAAAATATCTGAAAAAAAAAATACTATACACAGGAGCTACTATTAATAATTATCTGACACATAGTAATTATTAATTAGTTCACAGATTGATTTCAGGAAAAAGATACAGGCGAAATAAAGTACTTATTATGCTTGATAAAGTTTTTTTTATTCAGTAGCATTTATTTTCTCACACGTTTAAATATTTTATAAATTCGAGATTCAACAGATAACGAAAATTCTTTCAATCTCAAAGTGTCTTCTCCGTCTGGAATTACACAATGATTTTTTGCGTCCCTGTTATTGTCTTTGCTCTCTTATATCGTTTCTCTAATGATTCTTTGGCTCGAATGTAATCTTCGTTAGAGAAGAATTGAGCATAAATATTTGGCAAAGAATTTGGTTTTATTGCCCAGTCATATAATTATTGAGGAGTTGAAATTTGTATATATTGTGATTTATTCAAATAAAAATTATCGGTCATCGTTCATTAAATGATTAAGATATATCTATTTTATTTAATAAATAACAATGACCGTTGCCGGTGAGCCTGAAAAAAAGATTAATATTTATTTTCAACACGGATAATTAAAATATGGAAATAAAAAAATCAAAAAAAAATAGGTCCCATCGTTATCCCATTATCTACTTAGGTTTAAAAGTTATGGAATGAATGACAGTTTTTTACCAAAAATTTTTAAGAAAATCGATCAGTACGTGTTTTTGGTAAATCAACAATTTATATTTAAAACTTGAAAATCTTATAGAAATACGGTTTGAAAAATTTTTTCGATATTTTTTATCAAAAGTGCGTTTAAAAAGAAAAATTTCAAAAAAAAAACCGTCCCATTTGGCCCATTTTTCGCAAACTTATGGACGTCTAAAAAAAAAGTAACGTAATTTTTGAAAAATCGATATCTTGAAAACGATTCGACAAAAAAAATTGAAAAAAATCATGGAGGCCTCTTTCAACCAATACTAAAACAAAAAATTTTCAAAAAAATCGGCGATGCAAAAGCTAAATAGTGTCCGATTTGGCGTGGAACGCCCCATATATATATTGTGATCGTGGTTTTTTCCGGATCGTATGGGATCGCACGGTCGACTTCTCGAGCGCGACACCTTCGGCGTGATCCGCGATCTCGCGTTTCCACTTCAAAATATTCGCGAAAAATCTCCAAATGATTGGGCGCCAGGTACAGGAGACTGTATCACACAAAACTAGCGAAAAATGTCGACACGAAACAAAAGTGGAGACGGAGAAACGAATGCGACGGAATATAGGATGGTATTTAACATAGTAGCTCAGCAGTGAAACGGAGAAAAGGTTGAGTCGATCAGAACGGAGGATAGGAGGTTGAGAACCTACTGAAAATAGCAAGACAATATATGCAATGGAATAATAATATATTTTAAGAAATAAAGACAACGTAAATAATGTAAATTTTTGATCGACACAATTAACGGAATTAAGAATCTCGCAGTCGGATAATTAAGAGATAGAGTCTATAGCTCACGTGTGCAGTGGTTATCGAGCGCGAGCGAGATGAATTAACTTATAATGGACGACGTATCGGCCGCCCGAACGAGAAAAACCAAACTACGATAAGACACCGTCGAATTAATAAAGTCGTGGCGTTTTCGGCTTAATTTTCCGCAAAATCTCTCGTCCTCGACAACACGAAAAGAATCGCGAGTTCGCGTAGCATGCTCAGCAGGCTGTAAATCATCGCAATGATACACGAGATCGATATCGATACTGTCGATCACGCGAGAATAATACATGTACACACGTGGACGGAATATGGAAAAAAAATGGAATCTTGTAAAATATGGAATTGTTAATTGCAAATTATATACTTTTTCTTAGAAATAACTATGTGTTTTCTTTATACTAATTGATTCCTCTCATTATTTTGTACATAAAAATATTAAGGTAAGATAATCGAAAAATGAATATTTTACAAGATATTTTATGGTTTATGTAAAATTAAGAAATGATTTCAAGCCTCATAACTCGAAAAGTACTTCATGGAAAAATAATTTATTATAGTATTTTGGAAAGCTTTCGAGGTAAGCTACAAGAGTATGCAATGAAAAATAGGGGGTTCCACTTAAAAAATTGAAACTGACCTTCACATAATCTTGACAACGTTATTCGAGGTCATAATAATGTTACTGTGTAATGCGCTACATAAAACCCTACAACTTTTGTATGAAACATTTTTTTTAAAAATGCGTATTTTTCGAAATATTAAGGGATATCCACACTTTTTCCTAACCCTGTATATGTACAGAGTAGGCTATTTTAATCTACGCACTGAAATGTCTCAAAATCCATAAGTTTAAAAATGTTTTAGACAAAAGTTGTATGGCTTCGAGGGGGCCATAAGAGGGTACCATTGATTTGACTTTGAAGAGTTACCTGTAGGTCACATAAAGATCACCTCTACTTTTTTAAATGGAACTGCCTACTTTTTATTATTATACATATTCTTGTAGTTTATCTCGAGATCTTTCTAAAACACTATAATTAAGTTAGTTTTCACTAAGTACCTTCCGAATTATGAGGCTTGAAATAATTTCTTAATTTTACATACACCATAAAATATCTATAAAAATATTCATTTTTCGATTATCTTACTTTAATACTTTTATGTACAAAATAATTAGAGGAATCAATTAGTGTAAAGAAAACACATAATTATTTAAAAAAGTATATAATTGTTAATTGCAAATGACATATCTGTTCCTCGAAACAACTATGTGTTTTTTTTTACACCAATTAATTCATCTCATTATTTTGTACATAAAAGTATAAAAGTAAGATAATCGAAAAATAAATATTTTTCTAGATATTTTATGGTTTATGTAAAATTAAGAAATTATTTCAAGCCTCATATCTCGGAATGTACTCAATGAAAAAATATTTAATTATAGTGTTTTGGAAAGCTCTTGAGATAAGCTACACGAATATGTAATAAAAAGTAGGGGATTCCATTTAAAAAATTCAAAGTGATTTTTATGTGACCTTGACGGTGCTATTCAAGGTTACACTGATATTGCTACGTAATGCATTACTTGAAACCTTACAACCTTTGTCTGAAACATTTGTTTCTAAAATGCATAGTTTTCGAAAAATTTAGGGGTTTCCATACTTTTGCCTCACCCTGTATATATATATATATATATATGTGTATATATATACATATATATATATATATACAATATATATATATATATATATATATATATATAATATATATATAATATATATTATTATTATTTTTCATATAAGTATACAATAAAGACAAGTAAACTTTTAGGTATGTATCTTTCATTCTCTTGTATAATTTTATATATTTTTAAAAATATATTTAAATAGTTAAATAATATTCTAAAAATAATATTTTAAAAATAAATAAACAATATGTAAATAATATTTTAAATAGAAATATTAACATTTCTTTAATTTTAAAAAATATACTAATTATTTTATATTTATATACTATTTATATACTAATTATTTTATATTTAATTATAGTGGTTTGGAAAGCTCTCGAGATAAGCTACAAAAATGTGTAATAAAAAGTAGGCAGTTTTATTTAAAAAGTTGGAGTGATTTTCACGTGACCTTCAGATAACTTTTCAAGGTTAAATCAATGATACCTTCTTGTGGCCTCCTCGAAACTATACAACTTTTGTCTGAAACATTTTTGTCTTAAACTTATGGATTTTGAGATATTTCAGTGCGTAGATTAAAATGGCCTACCCTGTGTATGTGTATGTGTGTGTGTGTGTGTGTGTTGTATATATAAATGATAAATTGTTGTTATAAATTTAATATGTATTACTAATATTTTAAATATATAGTATTAATTGTTTGAAACTCATGAGCTTTGTAAATTTCATATAATCTTTTATTTATAATAAATCACATGTCACAATTTTCTTATATATCTGCATGTCTATTTCTCTATACTTCTTCTTACATGTATTTAAAGAAATGTAACATATATACACTCGCGTGCATTCGTGCGAATATTTACACATGCACCCGCGAATGCATGCGCGCACTAATGCAAATAAATTATTTTGCGTCTATTACATGAGCAAATAGCGATATTTTTAAATAAAAAAAAAATTATAATCATGAATCATTTTTTTCTCTAATTTATAATAATATAGAAATTTTCAAATTTAATTCACTTGATATAGAAGTTACTGGTTTTTGTTAGATTACTATATTGATATATATATAGATTAATATGAATATTCGTGAATCGCTGCATATTATCCGATTTCAATCCGAGTTCAATCTTTGGATTTTCGTTTAAAAAACGGCGTTACAAATTATTATATAATAAATTTCTCTTTTCTAAACCATCATAGAAATAATTCACATTTTAATTTATTTTAATTAAGGAATATTGTGCTTTTTTAGTTCTGTTTGATTTAAGTTTAATCCCATGTCATATATTGCTCATATTTTATACAATTTATTTTTTTTGTTTTAACTGAAAAAAAATTTTATTTTCAGCTGTTTCTTTCTTCCTCTATTTATATTTTTATATTTTTGTCATATGTTATGTTTACATTCTACATAAAATATTATTTCACATGCGCCATTAAATTGTTTTTATGTAAGTTTCACACAAACGAGTCGATGATTGTCTCTCAGCGTATATCCATGTTCTATAATAAGAAACATTGAGATATATTGTAAAACTAATTCGTTTGAATAGCATGACATTATAAGACAGTAAAATAATTATCGTTGTTACATGTAGCATGACATTATAAGACAGTAAAATAATTATCGTTTTTCATCAAAGCAGGACCGCAAAAATCTATGTAATCGTAAATAAAAAATATATTCGAGCTATGATTTATATTCTCTCCGTATTGTAATGTTATAACTATTGTAATGTTATAACTATAAAAAAGTGGATTGTGTTTTGATGATTATATCATGAAATATCTGGAGATATTCCTGTTAATAAATTTTCACCTAAACGTGCTATTAATATAACTTGTGTAACATAGTAATTTTTATGAAGAAATTTAAATGAATAGTATGCTTGAATGCAAATTATATAAAATTGCAATTGGATTCGTCCATATTGGATAATTTTAAAGGGCATTATTCATGAGTTATATTTTTTATTATTTTTATATACTCTGCGTACGAATTTAGAAGTTCAAAAAGCATGAGTAGATTAGGATATTGTGTGAAATAGAAATAGGTATAATACGATGTACGTATATATAAGGGGAACAAAACTCATTGATTAAAATTAAAATTTATTTCAAACCTATCTCGGCGCTAGTAGAAATTTAGTTTTTTGCTTTGGTCCTGGACTTTGAAGAATAAATCCATGATTTTGTAAAAGCCGGTGAGACTTTAGGAAAAACTATTTTTGACCCTTATCTCCTGTGGTATCGGCGACACTCAATAAATGTCAATAAAAAAAAGTTACCTGCACGGCAGAGGATCAATTAGGAAAATATAGAACGTTATGTACTTGAATAATTAATCGGACGGAATCGATATGTATCTTCTTTTGCCTCGCCGTGATATTTGTAAATCTCATCCTCTTCCTTTCGCAGCTAAAACAAAAAGAACTAATCTGTCTGTTAAAAATAACGATGGAATAAGAATGCTTTAAATGCGCGTGGTAAAAAATGCAAAAAAATGGAGAACGGAAGAAACAACTCTTTTGTAAAAATACTCTTTATATTATTAAATTCGAGAGATAAGCTCTGAAGAATTTGATGATCGTATATAAAACATATTTAATAATTTTTTCCAAAAGATCTCATATTGATGAATGAAAAATATTTTCTAAGCAAAATCTTATTATTAAATAGTAATGAAAATCTTATTAATTTCTTCCTGTTTTTGAATTGTGTCTGTCCGAATATTAGAGTAAAGACTGCGGAGCAAATTAGTAATGTAATTGATTCTAATAAGTGTCATTATTTTACGTGTTGTGCAATAATTATCTGAAACTGATGGATGTCATGCATAATATCGGGATAATCGATCCAGTAGTGCATCTTCGTGTACGAGATGAAGGATTCTTGAAGCATTTTATGAAAATCCTGGAATTAGCATGCGTCGTATGGCATGAATATATGGTACGAATTTGGTGATACTTTCGCGATACGTAGTACATCACGCCTTACGTGTAACGGATTACGCCCGTATCATTACCAATGTGTGCAATACATTTTATCGAAGGATTTTCAACCATGGATCAATTTTTGTGAACTGTAACCATCAATTTTTACTGTCACCATCAATTTTTCACATTTACAGTACATTCAGCATAATAACGGCATTTTGAACAATTTTCAAATTGAGAGTGGAATAGGCCTATGGGAGAAACCACTATAAAAAAAACCGCACCATGCTACCGCAAGGTGGTATGGAAATGATAGCGCATCATTTTCTCGCCAAAAGGATGGGTCATTTTTTGGCGCAGTATCGCGATATATCGTAAACCACCATCATATCTCGGAGAGCGATCCGCCAACCGTTTCGCCGCTTAGTATATGATTATAGTGGGACGACTCTCGTCGCCGCGCGCTTCTACTCACGCAGATTGGCCGATCTTCTTTATTTAATTTTTCGTTCATTATTGCGAATATCACAAAACAGTACAGGTCCTTCCTTTTTAATTTGAGCCAATCTATAATCTTTCTTACTTCATGACCGCCAACATTTCTCTAACACACTGTATAGATGATATTTATATTGGAAAATCAGAAATGAACAACACGTTGTACATAGAAGTAATTAGATTGCTTTCAAGAAGCATGTGCATATGTAAATAAAAATTAATTTGGAAATAATCTTAGTAACTCATAAAAATTACTCCATATTATCAACCACTATTTTAAGAAATCATGTTTCTACTACTTCGATATACAAAATCACGCGAATTAATTTGTAATCATAGAAATAATCCCTATCGATACGAAAGCTCATGGATACAATTTGTAGGAAGATTGTTTCTCGATAGTTGTTGAGAAAATTTTTCTGCGAAAGAACTACAATTAAAACAAAAATAGAAATAAAAAAAAATAAATTTTTGTAAAAATCAAATTGTAATTTTATATTTTATGAAAATAAATATATAATAGAAAAATTAATAACGGAAGCGTGTGCTAGTGATTGCACAACTGAACATCGATCACTAATGTATAGAAAAGATAATAATAAAAAGTACAACTTTTAAATCATTATAAAAAAAAGTTTAATAAATAACAAAAGTTTAATGATAAATAATAAATTAGAAAGTAGATATAAAATACTAAAGGAGAACATAATAAATAATAAAATAAAAAGTGAAACAAATAAAAATCTAAAATAAATAATAATTAAATGAATAAAACAAATAAAAAACGAAAAGTAAATAAAATAAAAAAATATTAAGTAATCAAAAAAATATTTTACAAATATTTAATATTTAATAATAAAAACATAAGCTTACAAAAGTTTGAATAATAATATCTATTTAATACAAAATATTAATACAATTAACTTCCAACTATTATTAAATACATTTAAAAAATTATACATATGTAATATATATGATTATTATTTCAATTTATTCTTATTTGAATTGACTCTTTTTACATATTTAGCGTAATATGCTTTACAAAGGCTTAAGATTTTAGAATTAAATAATACTAACAAATTATTTTGTTACATTGTAATTATTATTAATTCGATATTTTACAAGAGCAATCGGGAGACGCGCTAGGTGTGTTCAAAGTGTATACATGAATGTGTGTATGTGTGCGCGTATGTTTTTAAATTTAGTAGCTTATTAAACATGTAATCGTAAATGTAGAATGTGTGATATAGAACATACGCTATAAATTACGACTGTAAATATAATAATTTTGAAACGCAAACATGATGGAATCAAATATTGCTATCAAAATACTAATACAGAATAAAATTTTGAAAGGCTAATGTCGAATTAGAAATTTTAATAGGAAATGATGATAGCTTAACTATCGGCTTTAATTCAAGTCACAATCAAACAATTAAGCAGTCGGATTTAAATTATACTAATAAAGGTTAAAAAATGAATTGTATAAAATAAAATCAAAATTTAAAGAACGACGGAAAATGTTATTGAAAGCTCTTGGCGGAGGGAGCGATCGATCTTATTAGACTAATCGTGGTAGACATACGACAAATCTTTGAACCTCCGGGGGGGGACCTCATGGGTCTCATCAACCCTAAAAACTATACGCAAATTTTTCCCAAATTACTATTTATCCCTTATTTTTCTCCATATTGTCCATTTCCCAGTTTCTTCTCCGTATATGAATCAGAAGAATCTGAACTTTCTCCCCCTGAATCAACTCCTTCTTATCTGCTCTCATATCGAAACTTTCCTGTTATTTTCAAGACTCTCTCTTCTGGAGTAATAGACGGACTTGATCTCTCATCCTCAATTATTCATACATCAGAGAGCTACAACCTAGCTATCTGATTAAATTACTAGCTTCCAGAAGGGCGCCTGTACACCTTGGCTTTGCGAAGATCATCCTACGAATTGATGAGAGACATTACTGACTGGGCATGTTTAGAGACATTGTCAAACACGTCCGATCATGTAACACAATTAAGAGCCATACAATTAGATACAATTAGAGCAAAGGAGATATTTAACATCAAACATATATGTAATTACATATATGTAATTACCTGCTTACGCTTAACCTCATTGCAATCCAGTGAAGAAAACGAATTAGGACTATAAAGACTATGATTAGCCAATTCGTGGAAAAAGATCAATGCATGTAGGATGAAAAACTAGTCGCATTGCAATTTGCATTTAACACCGCTGGCCACTACCCAGATAACATTCCTTGCGCGCAAAGTTTGCGCGTCTTATGTATATAAACTGTGTACGCGGTTTGCGTGAGTTTTGCCCGCAAGTTGGTTAAGCTCATGTACACCAGCGAATCACATGCAAATGGATACCATATGCTAGCGTTTTGCGTACATATCGCTTATTGAGTTCACGCGCAAAATGTGCTAGCGTTTTACTACCGCTATGACGACGCACTGGGATAGGGTGTTTTGCTTGCGCGATATGAACCATATTTGTGCGCGACTTGCTAGATATTTACGCGCAAAAATGTTTTCTGGGTAGATACACACCGGCACATCTCAATTTAGAAACTCATATCTCCGATAAATGATCCAAATGAATCAGCATTAGCTCCAAACATCATAAGAAAACAGCTTCAGGAAGCATATGAATTAGTAAAAATACATCTCGCCAGGGCGTCCCAATGGCAAAAACATCATTACGATTTAAGAAAGCGAGTCTGGAAATCCAGAATTGGCAACTGGGTCTGGAAGAGAGACCATTTACTCTTTAAAAAGCGGAGAGCTTCAACGCTAAGCTCATTCACGGAAAAAATTTTATATCAAAGATTACTATAAAGTGGCAGTAGCTGCGGATCATCGAGAACTTAAATAAGCTTAAATGTTATAGACATTATTTTAAAAACAATAAAGCAACGTAATTTTTACACTTTCTCATAGTAGAAATTATTATGTTTTAAAGCAAAACTTGCTGGATAAAAGTTAGTATTGAAAAGAAAAATAAAAGATGTATACAAAGTCAATTTTTACTGTATATCATAATAAAAATTAATTCTTCCTACAGAATATAGCTTGAGTGTCGGTTTAACAAAAATTACTTTACTTATATAAAAAACAATGTTGCATAGTAAAAGTTACAAAATCATGTTCTAGTTGTTAAAAAATCGAAGGAAAGAGAAAAGCGATAGGTATCATCTGCAAGAATAAGGCGAAACACGTAGAAGCTTGTTTTAGACAATGTACACTTCTGACTTCAGCTACCGCGTATCGCATTCAGTCTTTAACTCGATAACGTATGTGTTTTGTTGAGCTTTGTTTAACGTTTATTTTATTGTCCTTCTTATTCGTTATAAAAGAATAAAAGAAAGTGTAGCGAATGAAAATGCGTGAAGATAAACAAAAAAGAAAGCGTAAGTATCTTTTCGGTAAGTATTCGATTTGCACTCTTTATTATTATATTGCATATTTATTTATGGTTTTCTATCTATTACTTTTCTATTAATGTATCTCATCTATTCATAATTAATATCTCTGAGAGCTGTTAAATTAATTAATAAAGTGTATGGGAAAAATAGCTTTACAGCACATATAATAGTTTGATCATATTTAAGAAATTTTAAATATAAGATTCAATTATAAATACTTACAGATACATTTTCTATCTGTCTTTAATAAATTTTTATTAGATTAAATAAAATTGTATATTATTTATTGTGTCTGTTCAATAATGAATGAAATATTACTAATTATAATATAAGTAAAATTAATAAGAAAAACAAAAGAGAAGAAAAAAAGAATAAAAAAAAAGAATAAAAAATACATTTATCGAAGTTGAGATTTAATATTATAATGTTTTACAATAATGCATAATAAAGATTACAATTTAGCACCTACGAATTTTTACTATGGCAAATAATGAAACATATTATGTAAGTGTTAGTTTAAAATTTTACTATACTGTACTGTAATTTATTCTATAAAATCATGATGGTCCACCGATCATACAAAAAATAGAAAAATGGAATATAAAATTGTATTACATATTAATATAAAATTTTCTCCGTGTACCAAATTATAGCGGGCCATATGAGGTCTATCGGATTATTTCGTCCGTCATCGTGGATCTCCGGAGCAAGCGAGGAAAGTGACTTCGACATATACACATCTAGGATTTAAAGCCGATAAGAAATGAAAACGAACAACGCGATAATAAAGAGAACGACCTGGATAAAAACAAAAACATAGACAACGAACATCGACGATAGACATTAAACCTGAAAGAACACTTAAATCGAGCGAAGATGTCAAACAGTGAAGACATACTCCGAGCTCACCTCGACGAAACCGCTGACTCCGAGGCACGAGCCTCAACACCGGTACCTCCACTCGAGCCGGAACAATCGCCACAATCACGGCCATCACGGATGGGAATCGTAATTCAACGGTCTGATCACACGATAAATGAGAAGAAGCGCCAGATGCTGCTGACGCAGCCATCGCCAGCACCAGCGAGAAGACAGCCAAGGCCTTACGAAAGACCACCATCGAAACAGGAGAAACCTCCAACATCAGAGGAGATTCTACGGCCGATGGGGCCGATGCCTATACCACCGATAAAGGTCGAGGTCGAGCCCGGCCTCGTTTTTGAAGTACCGCATTTTGCGGTGCATGTTAGTCGCCGGTATAAACCGAGGACGCCACAAGGCCGATGGATTCTGCGATTCTCAGGAAACGGAAAACTTCGATATCATAGAAAAATCGAGTAAGACTGCATCACACCGTTCCATCCAACCGACCGATCGTTACCGCTCCGATCATCCGAACGCTTAGTGCTTCAAATTCAGAGATTGACTAAGGGGGAGGGAGCGATTCTTGTACATCTTTACATAACACACGTAAATACACACGCATATGCATTTTCGCTTGTTATATTTTCAAACTGCGAATTCATTTACATTCACACTCACACACACACACATACACACACATACACACATACATATACTTCACATTTATACATACATTTATACACACACCAAACTTCAAATAAATTTATTTTGTTATTTTTGACAACTAAACCATATGCGTTTTTCTTTCATTATTGCCTCTGTCCGAACTCTAATACCGACTGCGTTTCCCTATGGTTATCCTATGGCAGCTTCCATTCGTGACAAAGAAAATCTAATAGCTTCAGCATTTCTCCATCTCTTTATGAAAATGCATAGAGAAATTAATTACTTGTACTTTGCCTCATATTTCTCACAAATTATATGCAAGTGTATGTAATCAAATTAATAACAATTCTAGCATTTAAACTATTTAAAGAAAAACTTGATTGACGCAGCATTCAAGAGTTAAATTTAGATTGATCAAGTGGAAAATATGTAAAATATAGCAATATTTTCTCCAATTCCTTCTTTTGGTCAGAAATTTTCTCTTAATTAAAATATTATAATATTTATATTAGAATAAATTTAAAATATTATTATACACATATTATATATATGTTTTTTATAAAAGATAATTTCAAACTTATTGTAATTGTTTATTATTGCGAATCGTGCTTTGCTATGACATACCGTTTCTCGATCAAAACGTTTGTTAACGAACTCAGAAGTTGTGTATTTACATGACACACATTTATTACAATATCGCGTACCCCAAGTGTTTTGTTAATCTTTAGAGAGATCTTTCTCGAGATATCAAGAACTCATAACTGTGTATACATATTTTTCTTATTACACTGATGATAATGGATAAAACATTGATTTATTGTGTGCTAATTTTTATTGTTAATTAATTCTTATAAGAGGACATGCATTGGCATACATTTTGATATATTTGAATATACAGAGTAAGTCTTAAAAATTAAGTTTATTTCTATTAGTCTTAATTCTTTCTTTTCCATTAAATCATGATAGAAACAGTGCTGTGCTTAATTTGTCAATTTGTATTTTCTAACAAAAATATATTTTTACAGATATCTAAGAAAGTAGCGTCATGTTTGTAAAACTATTATTATGCAGGTTAACAATTATCGTCTTTTCAATCGACTACCAGATAACTAAACTATCCGAAGAAGATAAATACATACAATCTTATATAATACCGAAAAAATATGATATTGTTCTTACATCATATGTTGAAGAGAATACTTTTGTCGGCAACTGTAATATGAGTATTAGGATAACACAATCAATTCGAAGAATACAATTGTATTTAGACATAAAACGTGTTATCAATATAACAGTGATTGATGATCCAATAAAATTTACTTATGATGAAAAAATGATCACTTATGAATTGGTAGAATTTTTGTATGATTATGAGATAAACATTACCGGAATGTATATTCCGAAATAACTTATTGCCGGGGCATTACATTATAAAATTAATCTATAATATAAATGATGATACAGGCCTAAAAAGATTTTATAAAAGAAATGAACGACATGGTAAGTAACTGTTAAAGAAATGAACGACTTGCTAAGTAACTGTTAAAGTGTTAAATATGTAGTAATTACAGGATGACATAATCCTGGTACAGCATTCTATTTATTAAAAGATCTTTTCTAAGAAATGACAATTATATAGACATGTGCCTATCTGAAAAGTTTCCATTACTAATTATATGTTTCTTAAGATTTTAATAACAAATTTTGCAATTTATTATTATTATCATTATTATTAAATTGAATGTAAACTGCAAATAAAAATCAATTTAATTAAATTAGTAATAATGCACGTCTTATACAGCATTTTATCGTCAACAGTCGGACGAGTTCAAATATACTGGTCGTGATTTGAATTGTTTTTATAATTTAAATAATACAATTCTAAAAGATGTATGTTTATGTTTTCATAGAATTTACTTATTGGAAATTTAAAATTTTGGCAAATATTTTATTTTTACATTATTTGCTAATACTAAACTTTGGGAAATCATTAATAATAAAGCCTATTACATATATATATATATATATATATATATATATATATATATATATATATATATACCGAGGCATTTATAACATAAAATTAATCTATAATATAGCTGATGACACAGATCTAAAAAATTTTAATAAAAATTACAATAATTCGGAATAAAAACATTTCCAGACATATGTATGAATTTTTTTATGAATTTTGTATGAATTATTTGTATGAAGTTTATATGAATTTTTTTGTCTATATTTTTATTTCATAGAAATCACCAACAAAATTTGATTAAATCATGAACACTCACTTAATTTTTACACACATAAACACCTTATATATAAAATTAAATATAAATATATAAAAATAAATATACACATAAGCACAATTCCTGTTTTATGTATTTAAACACGCACGTGCACATAGTATTATTTAGAAATTATTGTCGTTATATGCGTAATATGCGAATAACTAAAAACATATATTGTATGTGATTCATTTAACAAATTATCACTAAAATGTGCAATTTTTTTAACATCTATAAAATTGTGTATG